TCCCTACACCTTCAACCTTATTTATAGAAAATATAAGGAAATTAAATCATCACGGAGGTAGCGAAGTCATTTGCCACTCAAAACTATGGATAGGGAGTCAAAGCAAATACATAAATTGAGATAGAAAACTTTAAATTTTATTTCACAATAATGATATTTACATCAGTCGCTTGGTGCTATTCAAAAAAAATCTTTACAAAAACGGTTAGTGGTTGCTTCAACCGAGACAAATCCTCTCAGTAACAGCTGTTTGCACAAAATTTTTCTCTATAATCTAGACCTATCTACCTTTTCTATTTCACTTTGTGATCAGGAGGTCGAAGACGCCTCCCGGACGACCAATAATTTTGCTAAAAGAACCACAACTTCCTCGCAGAGGGTTGCCTCTCGAGCACGGATGAAGGCCACCTCTTCCTCCAGCCCTGCTCAATCATCAGGTGCATCTCCTCAACCTGAGGAAATCTAACTGCCTAGATGAATGAGTCTTCTATTTCACACAGCCACATTCTCTCGAGTCGGGAGACTCTAGTCATCAGGTCTATAAGCCACCTTTGCTTGAGCCTCCTCTAGGAGACCCAAACGACTACTTCCAATCTCAACTTGGCTTGGATAACCCTTGGCAGACCCCCGGTCCACCTTGGTGATCGGATCAGCACTCTGGCTATTGGGTTGTCTTCATCAAAAGACAATAAAAAGCAGGACTCAGAAAAAAATAATTAGCCCAACATACACCCTCCATAACCAAGCTTTGATCCCCACTCCAAAGTAGTGAAAGAGAACTCTTCCTTACTAGTCCTTCGTCCCTTGACTGTTAGAGAGAGGATGATGACACCCTGCATGACAGACGATGCTGAGGCATTAGCGACCTCTCACACAATTCTCACAACATCTACTTTTGGGGCCCCAGGCAATGCCAAAACACCAATAGCTACTTGCTCTGCTCGCGGTGTTGGAGTCTGAGCAGGAGCCGACAGACTGGCCAATCATTCCTTTGAACAACCACTTTCCTTCACCCGAGACACTTCTCCCAGACAACTTTTCTTCTCTTGGGCGGCTCTCCTCCACCCACACCTTCTCATCGAGGTGACCAAAGAGCGAGTCTAATGAGCCAACCTGATCCTGGAGATAGGATTTCTTTCGCTTCTTAGCCAACACCTTCTACCTCCACTCCCTTTAGTAGGCAGCTCTGTTGTACTTATCAGCTTTGGAAGATGACTCGTTAAACATGCCGTCGATCGGAATTCAGACAGACTGAGTGAAGAAAGTCAAATGAAAATGGGAAAATTGTTCCCCATACTCAATATTTATATAAATTGTAGGCATGAAATTCAAGAGGAGTTCAATTCTTGCATTATTAAGTAATCATAAATATTGTTCACTTTTCTGCACTAAATTCTCTTACTTTTAATGCAACCTAACTTTCAAGTAGCAAGGGAATCAATGAACAGAATATATATACAAAAAATGTGTCAGCATGAATCTCGAGGCAATCTACAGTCCAAAAGAGAATGGACACCGGAAAGCTACCCGACAACCCAAAAGAACCGATCGGCTAATGCCAACCATAGATCTCCAAACCGCTAAACAATACACGCTCAAATCCTCTAAGCGCTTAAGTTTACTTGGTTAGCATGAATTCAAGATTGACGACTGGGCCAATAAATCCAACCAGTTACATCTCACAGTCTATCTTCAATAGTCCAACCAACTACCCTTACCTGAAAGATCGACTAATTGATGGTCCCCCTCCAGCAGACCAACTGACAATGATAATCAATTCTCCTTTTTGGCCCTAATCGATCGAGCTAGAGGATAGCAGGCTCTAGGTCCCAAAAATATTCGATTATATAAAGAAAATCACAAGAGTCCGGAAATACCCTATTTTGCACCTCGTTGTGCACTCCTCCCTCCCTCCCTTTTCTCTTAGCTCAAACACTCTAATCCCGTAGGTATGCCTCTCGGACAAATTCAGATTCAACATATGCTAATCTTTAAAAAGTGAAATACATAATTATGCCACCATTTTAAAATGATAACTAAACAATCATATAATATGTGGTTCATGAAGAAAAGATTATAGAAAAAAAAAAAAAAAACAACACATATTTAATCTTCTACATCCAGGCCTAATCAGTCAAAACAAGCGTGTTTGTGCACCACAACAGAATGTTTTATTCAGTTCACGCACTAGACCTTATTCATACATTACACAGATTAATAATCACCCTCTACACCTTAGACAAATAGTTCTCCAACAAACAATTATATTATTACAAGCGCAGGAGATCAAGAACAGACTTATCCATCAACTTGTTGCTTTGTTGATGCTTTATGAAATCACCATATTTGATGCCACGAAATGCAGCAGGTTGTTTCTGCCTTTCAACCAGTACTGGCGAAGGAACGACCACAGCATCCAGCGAAGGCCCCATCGCAGCCGCAACAGAGATTCTAGTGCTCAGGCTGTTCACCTTTGCCCTGTGCAACACGCTCCTATACCTTCCGTTGCTGATTATCTGCAGCACAAGAATGGAGTGGAGAGAATAAAAAGTGTGGGGGTATTTGATTTGTTTAAGAAGTGGGTCAGAAATGAAAATTAACCAATTTTCTAGTAGATTTGAGGCTGTTTGGGACAACTTTTATTTTTTATTTTTATTTTACTTTGTTAATATTGTAATTTAAAAGAAAGCATGTACGACATATTTGATTAAGATATGATTATTTTTAAAAGCACTCAAAACATTTTAAATTATATTAAGTGCTTTAAAAAATGTGTACACAATTCTTATGTATTTACATATCTCATATTTACATTTTGATATTTACATACAGAGCGCTTTAGCGTTTTAAACCTACATGAAAAGGTGTATTTCACTTTTAAAAGTGATCATAGTGTTATTTTTTATGTGATATCAAATACTTGAGTGCCATGTATATAAATATGAAAGTTTAGGTGTGAGATATGTAAATACATAAGAATTGTGTGCTATGTATGTAAATGCCTCTAAAATGGGGAAAGCAATTTAAGAGTAGATATCAAAATTTTGAGCTAAAATAATTTCTCCTTGTATGCTTGAGGAATAGCTACATGATTTCAAAACCACTCATGACTAGCAATGGAAGCTCTAAGAAGTTGGAAACATAGTAACAAAAGAAGAAAGCTACAATTATGTTATTTTGGCATGCATACCTCCATATGATCACCGAGGTTGACGACAAAAGAGTTGGGGAGAGGCTTCACACAATGCCATTTTCCATGTCGCAGCACCTGAAGCCCATCTGTGTCGTTCTGCATGAGAATTGTGAGAAGGCCGTGGTCCGAGTGAGCAGGCAAGCCCATCGCCAGCTCAGGTTTCGGGCAAGGGGGGTACAAGTTCACCACTAGAATTTGAAAGCAAGACTTGAGGCTTAAGGCCACCTCCATATCATTCTCCTCTAGCCCAAGGCTTTCCCATATTGCGTTAAGAAGAGCTTTACCGAGCTGTCTTACACGTCTAGAATAGTCCTCAGATACCTCTCTGGTATTGATGTTTTTATTTTTTTGTTGAAATGCATGGGAAGAAAGATGACAAGTAAGATTGGATTTTGAAGTAAAGTTTATGAGGACAGAAAGGGTCATGGTTTGCTAATTGAGAAAAGATTTTACCTTCATAAAAATTTGGAAATTTAGATACTGGATCATGATAAAAAAATTTGCAATATACAGGGAAGCAAACAAAACTGGATAAATGTTATGGTCGATGATATGCTAAGCATGTGCATTACAGTTTGCTAAGATCAATATGGAGGTAAATACATAAAAAAAATTAATGTTTGACAAATTTGAGAATGTGATGAAATTATCCTCAAGATTTTTTTCCTTTTTTATTGTTATTTGGGCTTGGTGAGTGCTCCAATTCCTAAATAAATTTTGGCTCCAGATCTTTAGAAATATAAACCTTTGTTATAGAGAAAAATTTTGCATAAGGTAAGTCCAAAGAAATCACCTCTCATGTCAAATGGAGGTGGTCATTTCCTCTTGTTAATATTCTTGCTAATTATCAATCACTATAGTATCATAATTTTTGTAAAAAGGGTGGCCCTATTTAGACCGTAAAATTGAGGTATTAGAGACTCTTTGATAAGGCATGTCAAGCAATTGCACTTTAAGGGTGCATTTGGGAGCCTATTTCTTCGGTTTCTTGTCTCCAGAATGACAAACAATATGTTTGAGAGCCCAATTTTTGCGTGCATTTCACGGACAGAGGGTCACGGATCAGCAAAAGCTGAAACGAAGGGAGGCCACTGCGTTCCGCCGCGGAAGCTCCATTATGAGTGGTTTTTGACGTTCCTGCCCCTCTTCAATTTGTGAAATGCCTAACATATATCCCCGCAAATGCCCCCACCCCCTTCCCTCAGTTGTCACTTGTGTCTTTAGGTTTGATACCCAATTGCGCTAGCCTCCCTGATGTGTAGAGAAGAATGATTAAATTCCTTGATATTTTACACATTTTTATGGAAAAACTTGCACCTTAAAGAAATATATTTTCATATTTTTCTTGCAGATATAATAGATATTGGATGTAGAGCAATTTGAATGAGATTTGGAGCAAAAGAGTTTACATGAGACTGGCGCCTAGGCGCCAGACCCCTGGGCGGTTAGACGCCAGTCCCGTACCTGGAAACTCGAGTGAGATTTGGAGCAAAAGAGTTTACATGAGACTGGCACCTAGGCGCCAGACCCCTGGGCGGTTAGACGCCAATCCCCTACCTGGAAACTCGAGAGTTTGGCGCCTAGGCGTCACCCACTTGGCGCCAAGGTGCCACGACGCCTAGGCGCTAGACCCATGGGCACCAAGACGCCCAAGCTGAATTCTGCAGACAGAGAGACTGGGCGCCTAGGTGCCAGCAACTGCCTGAGATAGTTTGGGCAGTTCGATCATAGGTCGTAGGGAGTTATTTAGCCAGCTAAGCAGGGGTTTGGAGACAATATTGGAGAGTTTATTTCTGTGTTAATGCAAGAGGGATCCCGGGGTTGCTGTTACTTGCTTAAGGATTAAGAGAGATAGAGTTTATGTGAGGATTTGGTGAGGACTTAGATATAAGGGATTCTTCAGGATAGCAGCAAGAAGTCATGAGATCTTTGGGTGGAGCATCGTCAAAGCTTTGTAGAGGAGAAAAGTATTTGAGTGCTTGTCCAGTAGTATTTCTTTAAACATATCAAATAGTAGATTTTCATCATTTTTGAATGAATCTTTGTGGCATGTTCGTCATGCTTTTTGAATAGAACTCTTTACCTTACCATGTGATGTTTGAGTAGGATGTATAGGAGTGCAAAATATATTCAAATTGCTTTTAAGTATTTAATGTGATGATTAAGCTTCAGCTTTTCATTTACTTTTCATTCTGGCCAAGTGAAATGTTAAAATATGTTATGAACCATAATTACTCGGGAGAGTTATGGTGGAATCAACTAAGTTAGTCACGTTGAACTGTGAAGTATAGGTGGATATGCTTCATAGAGAGAGGTAGATGTCATGGAAATGATCTTCGTTGGGTTCAAAACAAGGTTTAAGAAATTAAAATCATTTTAACCAATCATTTCTATGTATTCGGAAGAGGGTAAATAAGAGAATTGCTCTTATTTGTCACTAGACACATTTAAAATTAACACTTTACATTTCTTATGCTCCACTTAAATTATTGCAAGGGAGGATAACTTTATAACTAGATATTCACCAATTCAAATAGATTAAGTAGGATTTATGTAGGATTTAACATTTAAAGTAGTTGGCAATTCAGAAGTAGTTTGTAGAACTTTAACCTAATCTCAATTCCACACTAAGAACGAAAGCTAGTAGCTTGAACTGTTCCCAAGTCTAATTGACCCATTCCCTATGGGATCAACATTATAGACTCAAAAAATCAATATTACTGATACGACACATCCACTTGCGTGAGCCCCTAGAGTATAGTTGCACCTGGAGCTGGGTATAAAGTTTTTGGTGTCGTTCCCGAGGAGCCACGACGTATTTACAAAAACAACAAAACCTTTATCCCACTAAGTGGGGTCGGCTACATGAATTTTTTCTCTCCATTGAGTCCTATTTAGTGTCTTATTTTCATTTAATTCTAATAAATTCAGATCATTTTTCATACAATATGCCCAAGTCATCCTAGGTCTATGACCGACCTTTTTCTTTTTGTAAATCGACAATTACAAGAATTTGATGATGCTACTAGAA